GACAACGAGAGACTGTTTAGTACTGCATCGCATGTCTTCAATGAGAAGATATTATATATATTTTCTAAAGTTTTAAAATAAGTCTCTTCTCAGCTTCGTCCCAAATAACCTTTTGTGAAACAGAAAGGTTCTTCAGATGTTAAAGGTTCTTTATGGAACCATTTAGACAAAAAGGTTCTTCTATGGCATCGTGAAGCACCTTTATTTTTAACAGTGTACTCGGAGAGTATGCCATTAGGGGCAGTTCACACAGCATTTTTGGGTTTAAAAATGCAAGATATAGGGCAGTGCATTGACAAATTACACAAAGCCCAGAGACACGTAAGTTAAAAGCTGTACTTATTTTAACTTCAGTGCCGCATTTTTAGATTGCCGTGACAAAAGACATGAGGCGCAATGGTAAAAACATCTGTCTGGACATCTAGCATGTTTACTTTGTCACATATTAATAGTGGTCCAGTTGTTAAAGGATTGTTTTCTGCACTTGCATGTGTTGTAATGAATTTTTTAAGTCTAAAAAAAAATTAGAAAGAATAAATTGGCTGATATCACACTGATAAATTCAAAATTTTCATGGCCGCATTCAAATTAATTTACTTGTTTTCATGTGGATTATATTAGTACACTAATACGTTTTAGGGGGCGACTGCAGGCACAGCCCATCACAAGTGGTTGATGAGACTTGTACACTATACTTCACATCTTCTGAAGCCATTCAATAGCTTTCTGTTACAAACACACCATCATTTTAAGTCACTATTTTTTATTTTTATTTTTTTGCAGTACTGGTAAAATACAACATGTTTAATTGTAAGGGTCAGAGAAAAGATGGAAAACTACAACTACGAGTTTTGGGTGCAAAAAAACTTTAACACTAAATCAATGAAGAGGAACGAGTAGGTGTGCTTAACCCAGTTAGTTCAATTCTGGTGGAAACTGCTAATTTATTCCTTCTGAAGTTCATGTTCTACCCTCACCTGTTTTTCAAAGTTATTGCCAGCCACTTGACGTCACTGACGTTGATTTAGCAGACTGATAAAGTTTACCAGAGTCAAAAACTGACAGACTGTGACAGGGTTCAAGCGCACACGACGGCCAGCTCAAAGACGGGTGCCGACGCTCAGGGTCACGTTAAGATCATTAGTACAGCCAGCAGTCATTGCCACTTACTCCCAACTGGAAGCACACCAGTTGCCCAGCAACAGTAGTGACATCAGCAGCCCACACCACCAAGCCCCCCCACTCTTCACGGTAGGAGTTGCGTCTTAAAATAGCACACAGATTATTATCAGGTCTCAAAAGCCTTTCTTTCCTTTTCTGTATGTACTGGATGATTGTTGCCACAGAGAATAATAATTAAATGAGTGTGCATGTGTGTTAGAGATTGCAAACATTCTGATTCAAGCAGCATGCTACAAAAGGCTGTGCTATGTTGTTAATCTAGCCACTAAAGGTATTATTCATGTACTAGTAGTATTTATTAGTTATTTTTGTATTTTCATCCATTTTAAGTGTTAATCATTTTGTTGTGATTTCATCATTTAGTTTTTTTTCCTATTTATCTTTTTTTTTTTTTTTCAGGTTCAGTTTAGTTATTTTAGTATCTCAACTTCAACTTACTTCAGTTTGTTCTAAAGGCAACACGTATCTTTTTTTTTTAGGCTTAGCTTTTAAGTTTAAGTTTTTCATCTAATATTTTTACTTTATTTCAATTACCAAAAATTATTTTAATTAGCTTAACTTTTAGTTAACAATAACAACTGTGATTACTAAGTTATATAATAAAATGTAAGGATATAAAATTGAATTTCAACATTATTTTACCAAGCAAATTAAATCAATGATATTTTGACTGAACAATATTTCAGTATTATTATTTTGTTTGTTTGTTTGTTTAATTATCAGTATCAGTCGTCATTGGATATTTAATAGTACATGGTGATTTTGCTACTTTCTCTTATTTTTTTATTTCAATGACTTTAACAGACACTTAGGATTTTTTTTTAAACGCTATTATTTTAATAACAGTGTTAAATGTAATCTTAACCAAATCTCAAAACGAATATTCACTGTTCATACTGTACATTATCATGTAGTCATGCCCAAATTTAATAATTTAAAATGACTTAATTTAGTTTTTAGCGTTTCATTTTTCATTTATTTAGACAAAACAGAAAACCATTTTAAAAATGTATATATGAAAATTGGCTTATTGGCCAGAATTACAATTGGCCTTTATGGGTGTTTACAATGGTTGCACAGTTTAAATACTGACCCATCAGCATTCAGAATACATTTTATAATAACCATTAAGTCCATCCCCAAGTTGAAGCATGCAAACGTGTGTGTGTGTGAGTGTGTGTGTGAGAGAGAGAGAGATTTTGTCACAGCAGCTTGACTTCTGATATTGCAATGCACGCATGAGCCTGGGGAGGTTTGAGCGGGTAATGACATAGATAATGAAGGTTCAATTCACTTCCACTTTATTTCAGAAAAGCTATCACATCAGTGCTACCAAACTGCTGTTACACGACACCTCATCAGCTCTTCTAATCAAATCTCGCTCTGTGCCGCTGAACAATTCAAACACGCTGTGGCATTTGTGTGTTTGCACGCCGAGGTGGAGATGTGGCTGTTGTTACAAGTCATCTAATAATATGACTCGTCTAGATGGTAATGCATAAGCATGCTTTTGATCACAAATTGGATGGAGACAGGGTGAAATTATAAATGGACAACAGGAAACACGCATACTCCGAGGACAGAATCATAGCCTCTCTGACCCTGTGCTCACACACATACACATTTTAAATTTGTGCCGTCGAATGACACAGAGTTTACCAGTACTGACTAAAAAAAGATGCATATGAGAGCGAGGGGAGAGGCAATTCAGTTCATTTTGTACAAACATTCTCTGGTCAAGCATGGCACCTGTTTATTTCTCAGAGATATTTATGAGCTGAATATGTTTTGCAGCCAGTATAGAACGAAGGTATAACCCAATTCATTATACATGTGATGGTTTATGCATCATGCTGGCAATAGGGTTTATGAATATCAAAAGAAGTGTCTGGTACATCAGACAACCCATTTCAGGCTTGCCAGAGAAATAAGGGCAACTTTAAGGTCAGGAACTAAGCATTGCGACATCCATAAACAAAAATAACCAACAGAAAGTTGCACCTTTTGCCATTTGCCAACTATTTTAGCGGAGCAAAAATAAACTAAAGAGTTGTTTCAATCAGCTTTATAATATTAGTTTTTCTAATAATTGGTTTACTGTTTTGAGTTATTTGCTTTCAGTGTATTACATTATGTGTCATTATGATTAATTTTAACTGCTGCCAGACTTGTGAATTTATTATAAAAAAAAGAAAAAAAGAAAATTAAATGAGATGAGAAATGAGTAAGCACTTTTTATTTGTTAAGTAGTCATTTTCACAAACTTGTAAAACATGCTGATTTTTCACATTACAAAATGGTTATTTTAACCCTCTGGTGTTTTTCGCATGGTGGTCAAAAATGACTTTTTTTTTATATATGAATATATATTTTCCAAAAAATAATTTACTGTAAAACTGCATGAAAATCAAGTTGTGTTTCAAATTTGAGGTTGATTTTTCAAAAAATGTATACGATTTCAGTTAGATTTTGCTTGGGCGCTGTTCCAAATGTTTGTACTAGATGAAATTTGCTTCCCATTCAACTCCATGTTTTCCTTGAATCTTCAGCAAAGAACTATATTGTAATGTACACCTTTTAAAAAAGCACTCTAACACAGCCAAGTCTAGGATAAGTAGGATTTTTTTGGTTTTTGATAAGAAGTCTCTTATGTTAAGAAGCATAAGAAGTCAGCAGAGAGGAATCATATCGTATCGTATCATAATGGTATCAATATCAGCTGATTTCAACAGATATTACAAAACAGCCGATACACAGGATCACACTTCATCTTAGGCTTTGTTCAGACATTTTTTTTTTGGCATAATGGAACGAAATCCATATGTTTGTACTCTAAACAGCAAAAAAACCTTCTATGCCATTTTTACAAACCTGATCCAAACCTCATCCATATGTTAGGGATGCACCAAATGTTCGGCAACCGAAATAATCGAAAAGACAGAATAACTTGTACCGAACAATGATATGACGCGATCAAATAGCAACCACCGCAGAGTGAGAGAAGCGCATTCTTTATTATGCAGCACACACGTCAGCAGTGTGGAAGCATTTAAACTGTCGGAGAAAGACGCAAAAATCATTACAAGCACCGACAACGAGAGACTGTTTAGTACTGCATCGCATGTCTTCAATGAGAAGATATTATATATATTTTCTAAAGTTTTAAAATAAGTCTCTTCTCAGCAAGGCTGCTTTTAATTGTACAGTAAAAAAAAGACCCCCCCTCCAAGAACGGGGTCTGATGGCCAAAATTATTATTTTACTAACTTATTAAGTTAAACTGTGCTTTGTTGGTATAATGTCTGCTAGAATGTAAAAAATGTTCAGTGTTAAATATTTTTTAATTGATTTGTTTTCTTTGAAAAGCAAGACAAAACAGTAAAAAGCACATTTTGGCTTTTTAATTTATGCAATGGTGAAAAAGAAATTGGCTAAATACATGCGGGAAAAAACTTGAAAAACCGTGTTCAGTATTCGGCCTTCGGCCCAGTGTTTAATTCTGTTCGGTTTCGGCTTTGGCCAAGAATTTTCATTTCGGTGCATCCCTACCATATGTGATTTGAAAACCAATTCAAATGGGCTTGACATGTAGAGTCCTCTCTTCTCACAATGACAGCTAACAGCTGTTACAGAAAAAACATTTCTTGGTGTATGGCAACCGATATAGACATATAAATCAAATGACAGTGAACAATTAGCCCTAAAGACTGAATCTGAAAAACAGATCTGAAATCAGTGTGAACAATGCCTTAAAAGACAAGTATTAAGAAGCAGGCAATAGGAATGAACCAGAGCGTAACTCCAAGGCAGTGACTCACCAGTTTGCCACCAGTGATCCATCACTGGAACTCCAAAACTCCTCTTGGCCCATTGGAGGGTCTCTATATCACAGCGTTCTCCAGCAACAAACAAGTTTCTCAGCCTGCCGAAAGAAAAATAACAGCTCTTAGAAAGTCTGTAAACTTCAGAGCAGCCTCATGTGTCCCTAAATACTAGCAAAGAAATGCAGGTGTGCATTAAATATTTACTGAACTCATTCTTGTAGTAAGGAAACAAGAAGCACTGACAAGCAGTGATTGGAAGAAGCACAGCAGGTGTAAAGGTGAGGATTCACTGTTCCTGTCATCAAACTGCCCACATTCCTCAAACAAGAAATGGATTACAACGTAGCGGGGTGACCACATCACATAAATCCTTTCATCTGCTCAAGCTTACAGTAAACTACCCCTGTAATACCGTAGAGACACTCACAAGGGAGCAAAGGACAGTCAAAACATCTTTTCATCATTGAGGCATGTTTGAAATGCTAATGCTATGAATAGTGAGCGATTCGATTGATTTGGTAGCTTGACAAGCACAAGCTAAGCCGGAAAGTTGATTTATTTTCAGACTGTCTTTGCATTAAATTCAAAATGTTAAAATGACTAATGTTATCATTAAAAATAATAATAATAATTTAAAAAGGCCTCATAATGAAATATATTTCTTGCATTTCTAATGTAGGCCATTATCAAAATTATTCAGAGAATTTAACTTTAATTTATTCATTAACTAACTCATGAAAAAGAGGCACTGATGGTTATCAAGACAGGATAATTCACTATATTGTGTGAAAGTGTACTTGGGCAAAAAGGTTGCGCTACAACTTCTGCATTTGCAATAAAGACATCCGTTTGCAACAGTGTTTGTGTTTACAAATCCACGGATGTATTCAGGAATCCAGGTGTGCATATCTAATGCAGCGACCTTCTGCAGGTGTGCTTTAACATCGGTCTTATGATCTTGGCGAGGGAGCAGATCCTGATGTCGCTGCTGAATCTCTGAGCTGGAAAATTATATTGAGTGGAGTCGTGCCATCTGGCACGCATTTAAACCCACACTGAGAGCCGTAGGTTATGGTGCAGATGCGCGAGACACTCCTGGACTGAGAGCCTGTGCTTTTGTGTGAAAGTCACGCACTGCATGGCTCCTTTGGGTCGAGCTAAATTGCCCTTTCTTCTGTTTAATATTTGCAAATGTCTTTTGTACTTGTGTCTTTTAAGTAAAAACATAATAATAATAATAATAATAGAAAAAAAGTGGGTTATATATTCATTAAGGGTCATTTGAAAGATGCATAGCATAATAATAGCAGATTGAGCCAGAGCAAAATAAAGCCAATTTCAAAGGAAATAATGCCCGAGTATTTATTTGTCTAGTAAAAAAAAAAATAGAACTTCATAATTGCTACTATGATTTGCATAAGTGCGAAAAAACTAGTGATTTTTATGCAGCATAAATATTCACGAGGTCTTAAAAAATGTAAACAAGCACCATCTAGTAAATGACAATCCCTATTATGCTATGATTGGACATTAATGAGAATGCTATAGTATTTTCTGATCTAGCTGGGTCCGCTATGCTGGTAAAATTGTTTTCAAAGGCAGATAATATATATTCATGGCTATATTTAATTTACATTTACATTACATTTAGTCATTTAGCAGACACTTTTATCTAAAGCGACTTGCAAACGAGAACAATGGAAGCAATCAAAATCAACAAGAGAGCAAAGATGTGCAAGTGCTATAACAAATCTCAGTTAAAATTCTATTGAAAATTCTTGGCCGAAGCCGAAACCAAACAAAATGAAACACTGGGCCGAAAGCAGAATACAGAACACGGTTTTTTGAGTTTTTTATAAGTTTGTAACGTAAATCTGCATGATTATTGACTCCGGTTATGAGTAAACAATGAACACGTCAAGTGTGATACAAGTAAGGTTTTATTAACTACATAAACACTTAAACTAGTCTAACACTTATGATCTTGGCGAGGGAGCAGATCCTGATGTCGCTGCTGAATCTCTGAGCTGGAAAATTATATTGAGTGGAGTCGTGCCATCTGGCACGCATTTAAACCCACACTGAGAGCCGTAGGTTATGGTGCAGATGCGCGAGACACTCCTGGACTGAGAGCCTGTGCTTTTGTGTGAAAGTCACGCACTGCATGGCTCCTTTGGGTCGAGCTAAATTGCCCTTTCTTCTGTTTAATATTTGCAAATGTCTTTTGTACTTGTGTCTTTTAAGTAAAAACATAATAATAATAATAATAATAGAAAAAAAGTGGGTTATATATTCATTAAGGGTCATTTGAAAGATGCATAGCATAATAATAGCAGATTGAGCCAGAGCAAAATAAAGCCAATTTCAAAGGAAATAATGCCCGAGTATTTATTTGTCTAGTAAAAAAAAAAATAGAACTTCATAATTGCTACTATGATTTGCATAAGTGCGAAAAAACTAGTGATTTTTATGCAGCATAAATATTCACGAGGTCTTAAAAAATGTAAACGAGCACCATGTAGTAAATGACAATCCCTATTATGCTATGATTGGACATTAATGAGAATGCTATAGTATTTTCTGATCTAGCTGGGTCCGCTATGCTGGTAAAATTGTTTTCAAAGGCAGATAATATATATTCATGGCTATATTTCATTTACATTTATATTACATCTAGTCATTTAGCAGACACTTTTATCTAAAGCGACTTGCAAACGAGAACAATGGAAGCAATCAAAATCAACAAGAGAGCAAAGATGTGCAAGTGCTATAACAAATCTCAGTTAAAATTCTATTGAAAATTCTTGGCCGAAGCCGAAACCAAACAAAATGAAACACTGGGCCGAAAGCAGAATACAGAACACGTTTTTTTGAGTTTTTTCCCGCATGTATTTTGCCAATTTTTTTCACCATTGCACAAATGAAATACCCAAAATGTGCTTTTTACTGTTTTGTCTTGCTTTTCAAAGAAAAAATCTATTACAAAACAACAATTTAAAAATATTTAACACTGAAAATTGTTTTACATTCTAGCAGACATTATACCAACAAAGCATAATTTAACTTAAAATTAAGAAGTTTTTTTTTGGCCATCAGACCCCCTTCTTGAATCAGGCATGTATTTTTTACTGTACAAATAAAAGCAGCCTTGCTGAGCAGAAGAGACTTCTTTTAAAACATTAGAAAATATTACAGATCCCAATTTGACCACTATGTTATAATAAATGTATTAACCAAGCTGTTGAAATTATTATTATCATTATTATTCTTACTTTTTATTTTATTTTACAGAACAACAGTAAAATTACAATACTAACATTTATGAATGTTGATGGAGTTCTTGCTTTTTCCTCAACTTTTCTTTTGGCGCAAACGCACAGGAAGACCTCAGCGCTTCTTTTTGTTGACAGCAGATTTATAAATGAGTCGCATGTATCGCATTCTCACGTGCCTTGTAAAAAATCATAAAAATATGACTGAGCAACTGACGATTAACACCGTTTTAGCGTATATTATCCTCACGCTTTGGACTTTGAACAATGGTTAACAAGCAGAACCGCAGCGAGCTCGTGCAGCGCTGTCAGAATACGTGCAATGTGTGCGTGTTTTAGAAAACATGAGGTTCTGCAGTTTATTTACTAATTGTTTAAGGCCATTTTGCGATTTCAATCATCATACAGTAACCAGCAACAATCACCCCTTCCTCTTCTCATCGAAGACATGTGATGCAGCACTAAACAGTCTCTCGCTGTGTGATTGTAATGGTTTTTGCATCTTTCTCGGACAGTTTTAAATGCTTCCACACTGCTGACATGTTTGTTGCATTGCGTCTCTCACTCTACGCTGGTTGCTATATGATCGCATCACGTCATTTTTCGGTACAGTTTATTCGGTCTTTTCGCTTATTCGGCCAAACAACGAAAGAGCTTTATTTGTTATTTTCGACCGAATATTTTCGGTTACCGAACATTCGTTGCATCCCTAATGCTTTCCATATTAAACACTGTAACTTATTTTTCCTTTTCTTTAGTGTGTTATGTAGCTATTTGTGCATGTATAAGATCTGCAGAGTTACAAAACTCAAAGGATTTATTCTATCTAAAAGAGAAGGCTGATCCAGACTGGGCTAAAACGTCTCATTCAAACACACCCCCACATATCTACCTCACTATGTGGAAATATTTGCATAATGCCGCCCAAATGTTCACGCAAAGAAAGAAGTCGTGGTTTCAGGAACCGCAGTAGTGTTGATGCAGCCATGTCAGGGAGACGCTGTGTGTTTCTGTGCGAAAGCAAAAGCACTTTATTTGGCCTTCTGGAAGTAGATGCAATGAGGAATCATTGGTTAAGATTTATTTACAACAGAACAACACAACCTAGATGTTTGAATTTGTGCAACGCATTTTATGGACGACAGTTTTGTGAACCTAGAAGAGGTGACAATCTGGTGCTTATTCTGAATCAGCTACTGTAAGTATGTTTTCTTAATAGTTTAAGTATTTGCTATTGACTGTTCAAATGTGGAGTTTTGCGCCGTGTAGAGTATCGCATCGTGTGTGTGTGTGTGAGAGAGAGAGACAGGGTCACATCACAGTGGAGTCAGCTTTCTTAATCGTGGCTTGTGTACTGCAAATACATACGAGCATCATCACTGTGTCTGTCACGCGACTCTGCTCCACTTTCGGGTTTGAACTGATGGTAAAACTAAGGACATTATTTACTGTTTTACATTATGTTGAAAGCTGAAGCTCGTGATTATGGTAAGGGGCGTTACATTTCCGACGCGTGCTTGTGGTGTTCGGCCAATCACAATGCACTGGGTCAGCTGGCCAATCAGAGCAGACTGCGCTTGTCGGAAGGAGGAGCTTTGTTAAAAAACGATGCGTTTGAGAGAGGCGGGGCACAGAGGAACTACAATAATGTACAGTATTTGAAAAAGAATGTGTTTTTTGAACATTAAAGAATGTCAACATATTCTGTTACACCAAATACACCAAATAATGATCTTTAAAATAGCATCATATGACCCCTTTAACATTAATAGCCATTTGTTGCCAATTCATGTCCATTTGAGATCTCACCCAATCAGCTAATAAAGAAGCCTGACTTTTGTATGGGAAAGAAAATATTCAGACTAATAGCCTGGTGTCCAATAAATAATTCACTACTTTTTGAAATATAACCAGACAAACAACGCAACAGTAATGTATAATACTGTACACTTTTACTCGATAAAAACAAAAAACTGCACCAAGACTGATATTTATTTATAGAGTGGTCCCAAAGTATTTAGACACATCGGCCACAATTACAACACACAAAATGTTGCATTATGTAATAAAACACATAGCATTTATTGCCAAGACATAGCACAATAACACTTTTCAAAGGAAATATTTCACAAAATGAGGTTTGTTAGGTTGCAAAATATGAAGCAATACAGATAATGTTCAAAATGAAGACAAAAAGTCTTAGGATACTTTCTTGTTGTCAAATTTGTTAAAATAATTAGAAAAAGTGGTTCAGAAAAGTTAGGTCTGAAGAAAGCAGCATTATTTGCCACTTGATATTAGCTAATGCAATGGCATTCAGATATTCTTTAGGGTGACTGAAGTGTCCAGTATATTTTTGGGACCACTGTACAGTATATTCACTGGCGGCCAAAAGCTTGAATAATTAAGATTTGCTTAATGTTTTTTAAAAGAAAAAATAAGAAATGTTTCTTGAGCAGCAAATCAGCATATTAGAATGATTTCTGAAGGATCATGTGACACTGAAGACTGGAGTAATGATACTGAAAATTCAGCTTGGCCATCATCAGAATAAATTACATTTTAAAATATATTCAAATAAAAAAAAGCTATTATAAATTGTAATAATATTTCACAATATTACTGCTTTTACTGTATTTTTGATCAAATAAATGTAGCCTTGGTGGCCATAAGAACCTTCTTCAAAACATTAAAACAAAAAATCTTAATTATTCCAAACATTTGGCCACATGCATTTATATACACAAAGAGGTGACAAAAATGTAGGTGATGCCTGTGTAGTCACCACTGACAGAAAAATAAAATACACTTTTTATAGATGTTTTGCTGCATATGTTACATGTTGTTAGCTATTATGCGAACAGGTACAGATTTGTGGTTACCTGCTGAGCGGATACTGTTTGCCGTGTTCTGCCTGAGGGTCTTGTTGGCGAATGGCTCTGATAGCAGTGGGTGCGGTAAACATGGAGGCTGTCCCATGCTCAGACATCACACGGAAAAAGGCCCCAGGGTCCGGAGTCCCCACAGGTTTGCCCTGTGGAAACAGCAACTGCTTATAGCATCTGAATGCATAAATGATAGACCAATATCTAAAAAAAACAAAGAAAAATGGATTAATATTAGGATTAATGAATATTATGCAATGTTTAAAAAAAATGTATCTAACAAAATGAGAAGAGTTTTTGGAAAAATGTCCTAGAGGAAGTCGCAGCATTTTATTTCCCTACAGAAGATGCTAAAGTTCAATATTTTGTGCAAACCTTTGTTGCAAATATAACAATTTTTCCAACATTTTGGAAGTGTACAGGTGTCAGACTGGATCAGCATGGGCATTTGCAGTGGTGGGGAAGTGAATATTAAATCAAGGATGTGTTTGAAGTGGAGAGTGACTTGGAAAGGTGCCTGGGTGGCAGATGGGCCAAACGTATGGCAAAGAAACAGAATAATACTGTTGCAGAGCGATTGCACACTCAAGTAGCATTACACAACAATGAGCTGTTCAAATATTCATGTTTCTGCCATGCTTCTCAGAGAGAATGCTCTCAAAACTAAGCAATGTTTTCATTTATAGTGGGGACAAATCAAACGGATCACACACGAATCTCTCCTCTTGTTTCTAGAACAGTGTTGTTGTGTATTTCAGTGAGGAAAAAAATGGCCAATCAATTTCAAAGTTATGAGAAAGGCTTAGATATGTCTTAGGCAAGCTTTGAACGAAGAAAACGCATAATTATTGTGACATTTAGGAGTTGTTATAGAAACAAAAATATAAGGTCTACGTCTGATGGGTTCCAAAAAAGGAAAGTGAAGGGAAAAAACAATGTCTGGCAAGGAATAATTGTTTAATCAAACAAGAAAACAGGTTTGTACTTGATTTACAATGTACAAAACAAGAATCTGCATCCGTCGCAAGTCTGCATCAATTAGTAATTGGCAGGAATTTAATGTTTGTTTTGTTTTCCCCACTGAATCACATCTTTTTATGTAATATAAATGATCCAATGCTACACTGAAAAAAGATTTTTCAAAGTTGTATATTATAAAACAAAGATTAATGGAGTACGTTTCACAAGAAATTACTATTCAGTCTTTCAACTTAAAAATGTCATGTTTAATTCAAAGTGTTATTTGTTGTTTCTTTGTAATTACTTGTGAAATTCACTAGACATTTCTGAGTGAAAAGTGTTTCAAAGTAAATCAAGCATACAATTTTTTTCAGTTTAGGTTTACTGCTAGAGAGCTCATTGGTAATTGTTAGTGTTATCTGGTTGGTTACTTACTGGTCCAAGTCAAAACAGCCCAGTCTCAATATTATGCTGTTGTTGTTTTGCTTATTTTATAGTCCACCAGGAGAAAAAAAAAGTATGATGACCGGCTGTTTAGAAAGTAAAAGCCCACCTATCCTATCATCTTATCCTGAAACACTGTCATCTTTGACTCATCCTCATTTCGTTTCAAATTGGTATGATTGTCGTTTTTAACACAAAAGACGACACTATGAGGAACGGTGGTTTCCAAAAAACATTGGACCCCATTAACTTCCATTTTATGGAAAATGACAAGAGGTTGAATTAATGATGTAAAACAAAAGCATTAGCAATAATAGGTGAAGCATGCTAGTACAGAAGTTCTTAAATTGGAGCCTGTGGGGGAAAAAAACGAAAAAGAATGAAAAAGTGTTACACTGGACCAAACTTTGTAATTGTGATATGTACTTTGATTATTACACAACTCTCTGAAATGCTATATTCTGATTGGTCATTTGCAACATTCTGAGGTCAGTTATTCCCCAATAATGACCGTCATCAATAGCACCGCTGTATAACAATCACTCCTCCAGGTGTTTGAGGCAGGGTGCTTTCTTTTATCACATTGCGGACACACATTCAAATGCAGCTGCCATCATCTTGCATCGCAGTTATCAACTGTATTTGGTTTAAAATGAAACCAGAGGTAGAATAGATTACTCTCTAGCTCAGCCTCGAACACGACTGAAGTCAAGAGGGGATCGTGCATTTGCCGTTGTCGGACCTAAGCTCTGGAACAGTCTTCCTTTTGATCTGAGATCCCTGTGCACTGTGCATGAGTTTAAATTGAAGTTAAAGTCTTATCTTCTGGCCCGAGCTTTTTAGCAATTCTTAATTATGTTTTATTTATTTTTTATGTCTTATTGCTTTCTTTCTTTATCTGTATCTTAGTTTTATATTCTGTAAAGCACTGTGGTCAACTCCTGTTGTGTTTATTTGTGCTATATAAATAAATGAAATGAAAACAAATGAAATGTAGAGGTAGTAATAATATTAAGCCTAAAATAATATTGTTCAAGTGTTCGGCTTGTTGCTAGAACGATTGTTTTGTACACCGTAAAGAATTATAAGATAACAAGCAGGTAAGATTTTAAAACGGTTTCTGCTCAAATCAATATTGCATGTCACCGCCAAAATATGTATGTTTTGCTGCGTAATAAGTGGTGCAAATCCCTTAAATATCCATCTTGTTTGAACTTGTTAGTTAGTCTAGGCTCAAATCTGCTTGCTAGAAGCCATTTTTCTTTGTGGAAACTTGGAGTTTCATGAGCTAATTAAATCATTTCAACTTAATATTTTGTGCCTAATTATTTACTTGTTTTGCTTTGCGTCTGGGTCCTGATCATTTGTCAGGTTTTATTTTGCGATAACAACCAGCTAGATGTACATTTTCCCTTACATGATTAATATTATTGTGAACAAATGATATATATTTCCAAAATATTACTTTAATTATTTCTTTTGGCTTTAGACCTGTATAAAGAAAACAAATGCCAACTTTTAAAAATCTTACTGTCTTTGTAATATTACACAATTTTCTTACATAGTATAAATATTTTACAAAGCAACGGGATCATTTTATTTGGGTTCACTAGCATCAAAAAGTTAAAAGCCTTTCCTTAGCGAACACCACTGCTGAATAGATAAGATTGGGTTTGGCATGCTGACAGAATAAAATAGAATAAAACTAATAGGCTTGAATCTACCATGGATGTGCATAATTAATTACAAAAGACATCAATTAAAACAGACTGAAAGCTTTCTGCTATGGATATTGACATTGTATGAGAGATCTGTTGAAATCAAACTTCCATTACAGCAGACTAATAAATTCTGTGCATCTTCCATTTTCTCCTGTGGAGCGAGACAACACATCAAATCAGCAGAGGTGACGCCAATGTAAAATTCACCTTGACAAGAAACCAAACACACTCTGATCGCCTCCCATCGAGTGCAAATGATTTTAGTATTCATGCTGTGATCTCAGTGAGGAGAACCAGTTTAAAACTATGAGAGAGGCTCTGTTAATAGTACAATGAAAAGCAACAGCAAATTGAATGCACAACAAAGTTAAACTGAACCAGTGATTCAGGAAGTTTGCTGGAGAGAGTCATTCATCCTTAAATTCAATCCCTGAGAGAAAAGACTGCTAGAGCCTGAAAAAATTCACAGTACGGACTTAGGAGACCTCAGTTCAGCATGAGCGTCAGGACCTGGTAGACCACAACAGCAGATAATTGAGTGTTAGCCGGTGGTCCATAGGTCAAATGCTGTAACACTTTCACACTCGCACATTTTTGCCCCGTACCTCGTAGAGCACAGTGGTGTTGCCATGTAGAAGTGGACCGTAGCAGATATACGAGTGGCCCACCACCCAGCCAAGGTCAGACGCAGTCCACCAGACCTGACAGAGAGAGATGTGTAGGTTAAACAGTGCAAAACAGTGTGTAAAGTTTTTCAGGGGGTCATGCCATACATTTATCACTATTTTTCCCTGCTGTTCCAACCCTGACGCAATCAGAATTCCAAGAACTCGAAAAATATTTTTCAATCATTTTCACATGGCTCTTTTCCATAATCCTTTAAGACAACAATGTAAACATTCTATTTTCACACAAAGATCTTTAACACATCTTTTATGCAAAGTTGTTTGTGCTGCCCCATCTTTTAATAACTGTCTTTTTGCAAAAACAGCATTACATTTTGACAGGGTCAAACAAGGTTGGACTAAAACAATCAAAAACGTGTTAAAAATGAACTTGAGATGAAAAATATTTTTCAATCATTTTCACATGGCTCTTTTCCATAATCCTTTAAGACAACAATGTAAACATTCTATTTTCACACAAAGATCTTTAACACATCTTTTATGCAAAGTTGTTTGTGCTGCCCCATCTTTTAATCATCTTTTCAAAAACGTGTTAAAAATGAACTTGAAACAAGCATCTTGTTTCCAAAGGTGCCACCAAATTAGTGAAATTTCAACTGAATTTTGCATGCAAAAAGGTCCATTGTCTATTACTAACAGAGTAGCAAAGTATGACGCACAGCTCACACTGAAGTCACTTTCAAACCCTGTTTTCTTTCGGTCAATGTGGCAAATTCACATGACCAATTTTAACCCCTTGCCCCCTTTCGCCCTCGTGCAAAATTTCAGATGTGGAATCCTGTTGAAAAAAAATTGCCTACAATACAGTCCTTGTTTTCTTTCGGTCAATGTGGCAAATTCACATGACCAATTTTAACCCCTTGCCCCCTTTCGCCCTCCTGCAAAATTTCAGATGTGGAATCCTGTTGAATTGACTGGATTTCCCCTGGAAAAAATTGCCTACAATACAGTCCTACAGTTAGGAAAGCAGAGCGGCAGGTGCTACACAATTTTCCCCAGTTTACTTCTTTATATGCCATTTAATGCAGCATTTTAACAAACCATTTGCCAAACACACTTTTTTGACTGGGGAGAAAGTGTTTTCACAGTACATCAAACCTCTTTTTCCAAAAGATTAAGGACAATTTAATTCCTCATGACATGACCCCTTACAAAAATCACAAATTATGACCTACCTCACCAGGAGCTAGTCCGTAAATGTTAGACATGGTCCAGTTTAACATCACAGCATATCCTCCTGAATCTCTGACGACACCCTGATGAGAGCAAAACAGGAAAGAAAAAAATAGTGATTCCTTTGTGATATTATTATGCACTTTTTTAATCCCCTATGTGAATGGGAATCACAGCTTTGAGAGTCAAAAACATACACAAACAAAACCAAATTAAACCCTGCGGCTCGTGACGACACATTGATGTGTAAAGACACAAAACGATCGGTCTGTGCAAGAAACTGAACAGTATTTATATTGTTTTTTAACTCTGATTTTCACTGCATTGTCCGAACTGTCCAGAGTGCATCCTGAGCGCGTTCAACAGCCATTACCGCCACCTATCTCTCAAGTGGACCATTGACACTATCTACAATCTCAATTAGGAATGTCAATGGTCCACTTGAGAGATAGGTGGCGGTAATGCACTTGTAAGTCTGCGTTCCACCGTAAAGCAAGAAGAAGACGACGAGTCAGGCGCCGGCTGAAGAAGTAAATACTGTTCAGTTTCTTGCACAGACCGATCGTTTCGTGTCTTTACACATCAATGTATCGTCATGAGCTTTAATTTGGTTTTGTGTATGCATTTTTAACTCTCAAAGCAGTGATTTCTATTCACTTCCATTATATGACTGACAGACTGCAACGGTTTGACTTAAAAATCTTAATTTGTGTTCTACTGAAGAAACAAAGGCACCTACATCTTGGATGCCCTAGGTGTAAGCAGATAAACATCACATTTTCATTTTTGGGTGAACTGTCCCTTTAACGTTCAAATTAGGGAAGTTTTACGCAACTGTGGAAATGCCACGAAATGTGAATTTTTCAGTGTCTCTTCATGGTGCAGCCGTGCTTTAACTTTTTATTCATTATTAAGTGTGAAAGCGAAAAAATTTATACATAATTATTCCATAATATTCATATCAACAGCTATACTGAGATGGCTGGCTTACAAAAATAATAAATGGAAAGTGGACAATACAGTTTTGAAAGACATCTTTACTGTTATTTATGATTAATTTAATTTGTCCATACCTAATTAAACTTTCAATTTCTTTAAAAAAATAAAATAAAATTATACTGTGAATAAAAGTATAGTAAACAAAGAACAAAAATCAACTTTAATATTAGGGCAATACAATTAGCCTTCATTTTATTTGATATTTTTATTATTCATGTAAATAATCATTCTACACAATATTTGTTTACACAGCATTCAGGACAAACATGTATTTTATTGCATTCATCCAAGTTCAGCATGAAAAAATTTGGTCAAGGTGTAAGTATATGAGATGAACAAAGCACAATTAAATAATCGCCATTATTCATATTACAATTCATTCTGTCCCTACTGTCAGTAAATTAAATCAAATTTACTGTCAGTAAATGAGGCTGAGGGTTGATACCGAGGGACACATTTTGAGTTGTAAGAAGGTAATTAAATCCTGTGTTTGCCAAACACACTTAGATCTATAAATCTGACGTGTGTGTGTGAGCGAGCACAGGTTATTAGCAAAAGGTTTATGTACAGGGCAGCATTGCCTTGGGCCAGATATTTCATACCGACTGGAGTCTGTGTCAGTGGAGAGCTGTGCTTTGTTCGCTCTGCCTTCAGGCTTTGTAACTTCCTCCTGTGCTCCATGTATTCTCTTCTCTTGTCTTGCCTCTTTTTCAGTCAGTATACACATAAACGTGAGTTGTTAGGGACTGAAGAGCACCTGAGGCATGCTAATGTAAATTTCAAGGTGCCGTTCACCTCTTGGAAAATACTAAACGGACAAAATAAAATGTTATTTAGGGGTGGAAGCATAATAGAACAAGCAAGCAGAATGGCTAATAGGCTGTGAAAATGGGCGGGGCTTAGCAGCCTGGACATTTGCCTGGATCATGTCGCAATTACAAGTTAAAGATTAGGGGTGGGTGATATATGATGATCAAAGTTTCACACTATATTCACAATTATCTTGCTGGTAACACTGTGAATACTGCAATGATTATGAGGCATTTTTAACTTGACATGGGATATTTAAAATGCAACCACCCGCAGCTTGACAATACCCAGTCAAGCCAGCTGCGACGAAAATACTGCTCATTAAAATAATGACGGTAATTTGCAGGAAGAGCAAAGAGAGGCGCTTTGAGGGTTTCTTTCAATGAATTTGATCAGCAAGTATTCACATAATGACAAAACATGATTCCTTAAATTAAGAGTTTATTGTTTTGGTACATTAACAGTGCCTTATTGTAACAGTGTCCTATAGTAAGCAAGGTAACACTTTATTTTAAGGTGTCCTTGTTACACGTTACATGTACTTACTATTAAATTAACAATTATGCATGCATAATTACATGCAAGTAACCCTAAGCCAAACCCTAATCCTACCCCTAACCATATAGTAAGTACATGTAGTTAATTAATATTACTCAGTACTTAAATGTATAATTACATTGTAACAAGGACACCTTAAAATAAAGTGTAACCGTAAGCAGACACCCTTGTAACAAACAATCAATTTTAAGAAACAGCGCAAATATTATTTTAAAATCATGTTCCCTGAAAACTTAATATATACTAATTATTATTACTTATAATAAGTTTGGTTATATGGTCTCAAAACACAATTTTTCTTAATTATATTTTTATTGTATTTTATTTGTTCATCTTTTCACTGAAGAAGAAAATACACGGTTAAAAAGAATTTATGTAAAATGGCTAAAATGACTTCGTCAGTTAAAATGACCTATTGATGACATTTTAATAATACAGGATCATTTTAATGTAATCTGAAAACAAACCAATTAGTATTTAAATTTGGTTTAGAAATGCACTTTATTTTACAGTATGTGCACTTATCTGTACTTACAGTGTACGTACTGGGAAATATAAGGTAATTGCATGGGTTAGGTTTAGAGGTAGGTTCATGGTTAGTCACTAATTATTACCATATTACCGTAATTACAATAACAAGTACATAGTATGTACATGTGGAACAGGACTGTAAAATAAAGTGCTACCATAACTCTTTTTATTACCAAGTATAGTTAAATTTTGTCAAAAAAATATATTTTTACTGTATTTAACTTCTTGTTCATCCTCTGATTGAAGAAGAAAAGACATGGTTTTAAAAAAAAGTATGTAAATTCTGTTTGACATTTCCTAAAATGATTTAGGAACGTCCTATTGACGTTTTAATAATATAGGATCATTTAAATTTAATATGAACAAACCAAATATTATTAGCATGGTACTTCAAGGTACATGGCCAAATATACAGTATGGCAGTGCCATAATACGTTTTGTTACTTTTTTATTAGAGAAAAGCCTAGAGCATCAGGCAACATCACAGCCACAGGCTAAAACCTTCATACTAAAACGAGCACCTTCCCTCTTATCTTGAATACAAAAGAGAGTTTATAAAGGCGTACTGCTCACGATCTCCAGCTAAAACAATATGCAATAAAGAAAGCCCCTGACAGAATGGATTTACTCCACAGCAAACAATTTCATCCATTTCCTCTGCTCCGTGCTTTATCGCTGTGCTCCGTCATAACCAAGAATTTACCTTAGGAGTACCAGTAGTGCCGGAGGTGTACAGGACGTACAGAGGATGATGAGCGGGGACGGACACACAGTCGTGAGGGCGGGCAGTGGCCATCTCCTCCTCCCAGTCCAAGCTCAGGTCAGGACACATAGACACCTTTTCCTGTGGGAAAAACAACAGTGTTAGGCACAGGATGAATGTATGTCCTTCAGAATGATCAGAGATTAAACTCCAAAAATTTTAATTCTGTTGTCATTTGCTCACCCTCATGTCGTTCCAAACCTGTATGACTTACTTTCTTCTGTGGAACGTAAATGAAGATCTTTTAAAGAATGTTGGTAACCACACAGCTTTTTTTCCCCAATGGCTTCCATTACATGGACAAAAATACAATAAAATCAATGGGATCTAAAACGATTTGGTTACCAACATTCTTCAAATTTGTCATAGAGGTTTGGATTACATACAGCTAAAACAATATGCAATAAAGAAAGCCCCTGACAGAATGGATTTACTCCACAGCAAACAATTTCATCCATTTCCTCTGCTCCGTGCTTTATCGCTGTGCTCCGTCATAACCAAGAATTTACCTTAGGAGTACCAGTAGTGCCGGAGGTGTACAGGACGTACAGAGGATGATGAGCGGGGACGGACACACAGTCGTGAGGGCGGGCAGTGGCCATCTCCTCCTCCCAGTCCAAGCTCAGGTCAGGACACATAGACACCTTTTCCTGTGGGAAAAACAACAGTGTTAGGCACAGGATGAATGTATGTCCTTCAGAATGATCAGAGATTAAACTCCAAAAATTTTAATTCTGTTGTCATTTGCTCACCCTCATGTCGTTCCAAACCTGTATGACTTACTTTCTTCTGTGGAACGTAAATGAAGATCTTTTAAAGAATGTTGGTAACCACACAGCTTTTTTTCCCCAATGGCTTCCATTACATGGACAAAAATACAATAAAATCAATGGGATCTAAAACGATTTGGTTACCAACATTCTTCAAATTTGTCAGAGGTTTGGATTACATGAAGGTGAGTAAAGATGACTATCACTTTAAAAAACAAATTGCTCAGTCAAGGCAGCAGTGCTATTTTAGAATTATTTACATACTTTTATAGTTTTTATTAATATTTTGAGTTAGGTTTTAGTTTACTATGTATTGTTTTAATTTCAGTTTTCAATAGTCATTCTGTTGTGCTTTTGCCATTTTTTTAGTTTTTGTTTTTTTTAATAATTACATTTTTACATTTCAGATTTATTTTTAATTTCAGTTAGTAACTAGTAACATTTCTACCTTTTTGTTTAGAAATTTAACATTTCATCTAATATTTATAGTTTCGTCTAATATTAATATTTTCAATTAACAAAAATGTTTTAGTGCTAGTTTTAGTTAACAATAGCAACACTGCCAGGCAGATGTAAAAAATGGAATAGTTCTGCCATGATTTATGCACGCAGATGCTGTTTCAAAGCTGTATGACTTTCTCTTTTTTCTATTTTTCTTTCAGGAAAACACTTTTTTTTAAATGACATACATACTAATGTTAATTTTATTAGTTACATTTGTAAGTGGGTTGGGGTTCACTGCCCCAACAAATCTCAAAATGCAACATTTGGTGGGTTTAGTTGCATTAGTGTGTGTTTTGATATTTGTTGTGGCAGTGCGAACAGACATTTAGATGTGTTTTAATGCCAATCAAGTCGTCCTGAATATTCTAAAATCGTCCATAAATAAGATCCTGCCATGTAGAAATCTTCTAAGAACTAATACAATGTGCACTCTGAGTGTGCTCTTCTGGGGCTGGCAAATTCTCCCCTCGCATATGATTTTAACTCATATATTTCCAAGATGTGTTCATCTTCACCAACCACCTAGTTTTAGTTAACAATAGCAACACTGCCAGGCAGATGTAAAAAAATGGAATAGTTCTGCCATGATTTATGCACGCAGATGCTGTTTCAAAGCTGTATGACTTTCTCTTTTTTCTATTTTTCTTTCAGGAAAACACTTTTTTTTTAATGACATACATACTAATGTTAATTTTATTAGTTACATTTGTAAGTGGGTTGGGGTTCACTGCCCCAACAAATCTCAAAATGCAATATTTGGTGGGTTTAGTTGCATTAGTGTGTGTTTTGATATTTGTTGTGGCAGTGCGAACAGACATTTAGATGTGTTTTAATGCCAATCAAGTCGTTCTGAATATTCTAAAATCGTCCATAAATAAGATCCTGCCATGTAGAAATCTTCTAAGAACTAATACAATGTGCACTCTGAGTGTGCTCTTCTGGGGCTGGCAAATTCTCCCCTCGCATATGATTTTAACTCATATATTTCCAAGATGTGTTCATCTTCACCAACCATGCGGGATTCATCCAGTATCCCAAACCGCTGGAAAATCAAAAAGCTATTCGCTAACAGTTTCCATGACAACACCGGATGAAGGTTAAGTAATTCCCTGCGTTGTGAAATCAACATACTGATTCTAAAATGTAGCAACATATGAAAACTCATTTAAGAGACTTTAAAACAGGAAAAAGACTCTCAAGTTTGTTGAAATGCTGAAACCTTTGCACATTTGATTTGCTAATAATTTCTTGAGTGGTATGTTATTGCAGCTATAAAAATGACTAACTTCCTTCTACAATGATTGATATTGGTTAAGTGCCAGCCTCCTTGAGAATGAGGACGTGAAGGTCGAATTTAGAGGTACTCTCTTTAAGAAAGGGGACCACATTTGCATTTTTATTCTGTGACTGCATTATATTCTCTTTTAGTAGTTAATAGGCAGCAGAAAATGTGCCAGTTTGAGAATGAGACTGGCGTCCAAGTGCTGTGGGGTTTCTGGGAGCTCACCATGCTGGGACGGTTGTAGATGAGGACTTTGTGTGGTTTGTGACTGCTGAGCTCCAGAGCTTTCTCAACCAGGGGAATGTACTCTACTCTTCTGCCCGGCTCGATGCCAAATGATGCTGTCACCAGCAACTTGGGCTGTGGGGGAAATAATGATTTAAGAGGGGAAGCGGATTTCGCAACCTAAGCAGATATATGCATTTACAAAAATTGTTATTTGTTATTAATTTTCATTACAAAAAACAATGGCTTACCTTAGCATGGTCGATGCGGAAGGAGAGCTCTTTGGAGGCAAATCCTCCAAATATGAGGCTGTGGGTGGCACCAATACGGGCACATGCCAGCATGGTGAACATGGCCTGAGGAACCATAGGCATATAGATCACCACCAGGTCGCCCGTCTTCACACCATGCCTCACCAGGACACCCGCCAACCTGGACACCTACAAACAGGGGTGTGGATGCTGAATTTTATGGACAAACTGGAGTCATATTAATCAAAACAACAGAAAACAGACACTGAATGCAAACTGGTCCAACATTTTGGAAGAGGAAGAAGGTTCTTGACATTTAACATTGCTTAGCAAATTTTCCTAGCAATAGGAATCCACACAATTCCCAATCTCGTGAATTCCTATTGAAATGACTTTATTTTGTCCACAACAAATTCCCCATGCAGATTTTGCAACGGGTTCAAGTTGGTCGTGAATTCTGACCAACAGAAACTGTACCTTCATACATTGCTACACTATTGACAAAAAACAATTATTTTTTTTGCCTGCCAAATAAATGTTGCTAGTGTGACGCATTATCAGTTTTACCTGCTCCTGCACTTCTCTGTATGTGATGACCTGTTTAGTGCCCGTAACCGGACTGTCATAAATGACAGCTGCTTGATCGGCTCTTCCATCCCCCACATGCCGATCGACAGCATTATAACACATGTTCAGCTTTCCTCCAACAAACCTGGAATGAAAACAGATGTTCTTAAAGGAATATTTGAACTATAAGTAATACTCATGTTGTAATCACTATCAGTTTAAAGTACCTTTAAAGTTATCAATCAACATGATTAAAATTCCATTTACCATCATGCACTAATCAATATTAATTTCAATAAAGTGCAACAGTGGCCATTCAATTTTCCAGCTACCTTGGTTCCAGAAGTATATTTCATATAGGGATTTTAAACATGTACAAATGTTGATTTGAAGCAAAAAACTATTTGAAAATCTGACAAAAAGACTAAAGTACAAGACTGTAATTATGACTAGTATTATGAATTACATAAATTAAACGATAAATATGGGTAATATGTAATGTTGTTTTTCCACCAGGAATACCACTGTTAAACATGATTATTTAAAAAATAAGTTGCAATAATACAGATTCAACAGAAGTATATACCAGTGAGTAACAACCTTGTAACTCACAGTATGTCTGTCTTTAAAGATGTAGAAGTTACTGTTCAAAATCAATCCCCTTATGGAGAAAATCAACGGCATTTTTACTTCAGGAACTTGACCCAAATGAACTCTATATTCATGGACATTAGGCCTTTTCACCCCCCCAAGACACTAGATGGCTGTAATGCATTTGAGATGCAAAATATACATCAATAGATGTTAGAACCAATGACAATCATAATGAACTGCACACATTCTCAGTTAAGTTATTCAATGTCTATCCCACCATAAACCCAAACTCCCAGCAGCTGCTAAAATGATATATTTTAAAAAAAAATTAAAAGTCTGTCTTAAATATGTATTAGTTGACCACTTTAATGTTACTAAGATTAGGAAACAAAATAATCTATAAACAAAAGTGGGCGTACACACGGGAAGCACTCTATGCGTTTTGTCTGCGCTGTTGATTGGTCTAGACACGCATGCGTCAGACAGACGTTATTCCGTTGCGTCGCGTTTTTAAAAGTGGGCGCGTCATGTTAAAAAGAAGATTAAAATGAAATCATTTTTTTTCTTGTAAATATTAAAGTATTGTCATCGTTTACGCCCCCTCATGATTTCACAAACACTCCCGACTTCCTCTCTTCACCCTTGACTCTCTCTCTCTCTCTCTCTCCTCAGTGAAACTCAAGAAGAAGTTGTTTTGCAGAATTCTAAGGACTGACAGGCTCAGTCACTATTCACTTTCATTGCATTTATTCTTCCATACAGTGAAAGCGAATGGTGACTGAGACGGTCATTGCCCCTCACACCATTTTTTTTGGCGAATCCCTTTAAAAACAGCCCCAGACCCCTGCTTTCACTTAAAATTCTGTTACTATTGACCGCAAAAAGGCAACATATCAACGGCCCCTAGTGTATAGGCTGTCCTTACCATTTTGGAAACACTGTATCCGTATTATCCAGAGTCTGAGTCCAGTGTTCAAACCAAGTGATACCATCTGCCGCTTCACTCCAGAACTTTTCGGGGTTGTCACGTGCCAGGCCGAACGCGTCTTCATATGTGTATTTTGATGAAAAGGTACGAATAAAATGTTTCCTGTATGTGTTATAAGCTCTGTTTGTTGTATAAATCAACCCATTCCAGATATCTGTCTGTACCTTCTGCAGGTAACATGGTCCAGACACACCTGTGCATGAAAACTTCAGACCCAACAAACATCTTGAACCTACAGCACTCACTGTTTTGTAACGTTCCTTAACTCTAGACACCGTTACATTTCCAATGCAGATGTGTTTTAACCGCGTAGTTTGGTAAAGACGCATGTTTGTTGTGTTTTCTGTTCGTTATCGCGTCGTTTCAGCTCTAGTGTTTGTTGACGAGCAACGCTGATTCAAGTGAGCTCCAAATTTCTCAACTCAAAAATGGCCGCGCAATAATTCAATACTTCAGATCACAGCCAGAGGCCACTCCAAGATACTGCAATCCATGCAATGTGATCGTTACGTAATGTTGGGGCTTTCTGAGGTGCCCCTGCATGATTTATGAAACACAATGCTATAGTCTGCATACAGTAGCCTATAACTTTTTAATGCAAATAATCTCCAAATATGAAGGCAGCTATATTTTTTCATATATACAGCCAGACACGCTGTTTGAGAACAAATGTTAAGCGTGATATTAAACCTGTAAAACCTGACATATGTGATATAAAATTAAATAAATACAAAGTTGCATACTGTATTTGTTTGTATCATTTTTGATACATCAGGCAAACAGTATGACAGAGGCCAAAATTGAGTGAGAATATGGAATTCGGTACAGTTTCTGATATGTATATGACGACAAATTTGGAGATGTGTATAAATAAACATTCCTTAAAAGCCTGTTGGAACATATTTGATCAATTTTACCATGATATTATATAAATAATAATATAATAAATTAAACCTAAGTTGATGCAAATTTAGAATGTCACTAAAATGTATTTTACTTAATAAAAAAGTATAAACTATCAATCAGAACCGAAGGCATGCAGGTTTATATCATGTTGATAATTAAGAGGTCTTAAATTTGTGTATCAGATACAGTAGGGTTAAAAAGACAACATGTTTTGGCTTTTATATTGTCATTGCACCCGAGCAAATTAAAATATTATGTGGAAAATATTTACTTTGTAATAAGCTGACAGTCTTTTCTACTCTGAGTACTGTTAGCTTCTAAACAAAAGAGACACAATTCACCTGACTTTTATTGGTACAGTATTTTTCATAATAAATATTGTTCCAAAGCAGCTTTGCCTTAAAACTCCGTTGAGCAAGCCGAAGGCAACAGTGAACTGGAGAAATTCCCTAGACAAATACAACACTACAAACTATTCTTGAAAGTATGTAGATTGTAAGCAAGCTAGGAGATTAAAATAAAGAGATTATTTTTGGCTTCAGTTTTGTGAACTGATTATTCCCAGTCTGTCTTTAGAACTGTTGGTGTCTGAAATTTTCCACGGACCCCTTCAGCACACTCTTGTGCCCCCCTGACTTGCAGTCAAATCAATAACACAGAACGAGATTGTAATGTAAAATCATGCTGCCTGGTTAATAAGAGCCCATGGTAATAAATGCAATAAATTGAGAGCACTAGGATGAAGTCACACCTACACACTTGCGGTTTGACTTCAGATGTTTGGAACCAGTCATAAATACTAATGTCATAAGAAATTGCTTAAATATGGAAATAAGGAAACCTAATAGAGCCAGGATATTTATTGCTAATATTATCATCTAAAAGACATACTGGTGAATAAACAATGGCTATAGGATATAATCTTCATTATAATCTTCAACTCTTCATGTTTGTGATCCTGTCTCTCTCTTTCTGTCTGACTGTGTTTCGAATGGAATACTACAGTAGCTTACTACTTACTGAATACTGTGCATTATATACTACCGTATACTGCCTACTATTTCCATTTTCTCTGGATTTTTCCCTCCAGTATTCTACGTAATGTACACATTTAGTTAAAAATAACAGGTCATTTGAGTATTGCATTCATGTAGAACATTTACACTCACTATCTACTTTCATAATGGAAAAGAACAGCTTGGAAAGTCTGCAAAATATCTCCTTTTGTATTTCACAGAAGAAGGAAATTCATATAGGTTCAGAAAGACATGAGGGTGAGTAAATTAAGACAGAATAAAATTTTTCGGGGTGAACTATAGCTTTTAGAATCTATTAAACAGTTTCAGAGGCCATATCTTATCCATGGCTCTCGCAAGACTACAAGCCATTTCAGTCAGTAATGCCTACTGTCTGTGTCTATACCCCTCTCTGATTGCTGACTGCAGTCCCATTTTAACTGCAACCTGGACACTGTGATTGAGTCATTCATCAGTCTTGCTGGCAGTTAAGGGATGATGTGATTTACAAATCGCTTGTGCAATGTTTTCTATTAGAGTGGCTGAGGCGATTAATGCTAAGTGGTCCTAGTCCTGTGTGGCAGATTGTCTGTACACAGATTACGAAGTGAATTGCTCAGGATTTAATAGAGCTGAATAAGATAAATATAAATTGCAGTATGATGCACATTGCTAGATTGGTGACATTTACGCTTTTTGGTTGCAAAACAATGATGTAACCAACAGTTACTGCAAAACAGCAGCATAAAAAGCTGGTAAAAACAAATAAATACACTATGGAGTCTGCTGAAAATGTATATATACAGAGCATATCATACATTTCTATTATTATTTGATTTTTTTCAATAGTTTTTCTTTATAGTTTGAGGTCCACGTGTAATATAAGTATGTTTTTGTGCTAAAACCCATGTTAATTTAGTTTTTGATAACCTTTTTACATATAAATTAGACACCCTCTATGCTGTCTTGTGCTTGTCAAATATAATTGTTTTATAGTTTTGGAATAAAGCTTAATTACATTGCGATTTTAATTGTGTCACACAAACTGTTAAGGTCAGACTGACATAATCAGAAACACTGTAAAACTAAAACTTCTGTCATTCTTTACTAAGATCGGGATCCTTCAGAAGAATATGCAGAGCTGTAGGTGCTACACGCAGCTAGAAACAGCACAAGACTTCATCATATTTTAGGGTATGTTTTCATGGCAATGATGTACTAAAAAAGGAAATGCTTTTTCTTTGCATTTTTGAAGCATTCATGTACAGACACCAATGCTGTCAAAATGATCCCTGTTCACAAGGATCCACAAAAACGACTAAAAACACTGTATTATGCATGCCAGGCCAGTAGCTGACAATGTCACTTCGTAAAGAAACACTATGCCTGTTCCATACCTGTAGACTCATGCACATGCCGTCACTGTTTTCACAAATTCACATTTTTGTTGTTTACACTGAGATGATAACGGTATCATTTTCAAAAACTTGCACCATTTTTAGTTGAAAATGGTGTCTTGTAAATGCCCCCTTAGTCTCATCTTTATTTCTAAATAAACAGCATCTGTCCAGCTTTCTCCTCTTTATCTCTAAGAATGGGCTTAAGGAGTCAAAGTCAGTAAATAACACTCTTATGTCAGTAAATGTTCTTACTGGACTAGGGAAGTATTCTGTTCTTGAAGTTCCAGTGTGTCTTTTATCTAAAAAGATCAGGGTAAATTTGATACCTTATAACCCCTTTTAACAAAATCGTCTTGTGCTGAATGATCAAATTACTCCATAAATGTCTATGTTCTGTATGGCATCTGGCATTCGCCTCAAATCGCCATTTGGATGTATTTGTTTTAGGTTTTGCATTCTAAATAGCCTCACCGCGTGTCTTCATCTCTGATCTGCATTCAGCAAGCACATCACACAAACTGCGCATCTTCAATTAGTTTCCTCCCTGTGTTGCAGGATTCTAGGCAAGAATCGAGCCTTAGAACTTAATGCCCGTCAACTTTCTCCCAGCGCCAATTTGTCAGTATAGGACTTTCTAAAATAGTGCTATTCATATTGTCATAACTCTTTCTCTCTCTGGCAGTAACAGTGTCACATTGTTTGATTGGAAATATTTCTATTTTACTTTGTCTGGCCTGTTATATTGTCTGCTACCCTGATGTGAACATGTGGGAGGGTGTCAATGATCTTACTCCAGTGTAAAGGCACTCATGCTGCAATCTCACATGAGATTTTATGAGTGACAATTGAATTAGTGCAGCTGCAAGTTTATGGACAACCTTGTATGAACCCAGAATATTCCTTTATTACCACCTGCAGGTCACTGTCAGACAATATTCCATCTGCTGATAAAATACATGATTAGTTAAGTCTGCGATGTTATAGGCTTCAAGTTAAACAGCTGTTACTCTTTTGCAACCTCAAGGTGTGGTCATATTCGTTAAACTTCATGAGCAAAAAGGTCCACTGTCTATTGTCATTCGTGTAGCGATGTATGAAGCACAGCTCACACAGAAGTCACTTTCAAACCAAACAACTTTCTGTTAGTCAATGAGGCGAATTCACATGAGCAACCTGAACACAAGCAAAATCTGCATGGGGAATTGTTTTTGCCCTCACATGAAACGCTTAGATGCACAGATTACTATTAAAATGACTGGATTTTCCCCGCAAAATTTTTGCAGAGACAAAACAAGCAAAAATAAAACTAGGTTTTTATATTTTATGATAAATGTTTGTTCAAATCCTTAACCCAAAATATGAGGAACGGTAAAAACAATAATGTACAGTATGTGGAAAATAATGTGTTTTTTAACCTTAAACCGCATTAACACATTTCATTAAACCAAATACACAAAATAATGTTCTTTTTAGCAGCATCATATGACCCCTTTAACAAACACCACTAAGAAGAGCACACAAGCAGGCCATCTTTGACATATCCAAATATCACAATGACGTGCTGTTTGGTTTGTCTTCTAAGATGTGTCAAAGCAACATATACGCTTCCATTCATCATGAATCAAACAACAACATCTGCCTCTGCCGTGCTAAAAGGGGGAAAAAATAACAAAAGCAAGCCGTCTCTCAAGCACGCATATGTTAGCTAACAGCAGCCGTCTTGTATCTGCCCCCTTCAAGCCACTTTCATCTCACGATACGCTATCCTTGCACCGAACATGACTCTGTGTGAAAGGCGTCCTACAGGGATGTGGTGTCATGTTCCAAAACTTCCTGACAGCCAATTGACTAGATGCTGTTTTCTTGAGGAAACTGCAGACACATCGAATGAACCGTAGTATTTCTACACTGAATAATAAGGCAGCTCTTCCGCTTAAAACAAGCTGAGATCAGGTGTGGAGAAAAAAGGTGGCATCTTTGCTAAAGGCCACAGATTAAACTGTGTCCTCACCTGTTGCTTTACACCCACATCATACAATTGTGCGCCATTCAGGATTTAATTGAAAATGCCTTTTAAATCCTTGAATTTGAATTGGATTTGAATTGAGGTAGTAAACAGGATGCAGAACAGTAAGTCATATTTAGGGAGTAAAATTATGAATTTCATACAAATTAATACATTTGTAATTGTTTTTATTTTTTATTTAATCAATAATTACATTTTTAAATAATGAAATTAATAGGTCTTTATATATATATATATATATATATATATATATATATATATATATATATATATATATACATGTATATATGCAAATTATATATATACTTATTAATTAATACAGTTAATTATTATACTATATATTTTCTTGAACAATGGTCAAAGAACACTTCATTTCCCCGAATCCCCTAATTTATCCCAAAGCCTTTATTTAAATATTTTTGTATTCTATCTATTTTATCAGGTTTAATATTTCAGAAATCTGAAACATATCAATATGTATACAGTATACTTTATAAATATATACTAAAAACGTTATTGAGGCTGTTCATTGTGTTGATAGTATTTAGTATATTTATTTTGTTTATATTAAAATATTTCTTATACAAATATATAAATTAAAAAATTATGCATTACATTAAAAAGACATAATTAGTCCAAATTAATTCACGTTTATGTTTTCTCACACAACTAATTCATTTATTGCACTGTGTGACTATATTAAATTTTTTTTTTAACTGAGTAAATTCCTCATCCTGTCATTACAGTTGATTCTGTGGGACGTGGCCAATTTGAATCTAATTCTAACAGCTAATTTTTAAATTGTGAAATTTGCTCAACCCTGACCTAGATACAGGTCTAAAATAACACATTTCAAAGAAATATGAATCAGAGTGTTTCTGCTCATGCGAGCTACTATACTCATTCACACAACCTTAAAATAATCTCTTCTCTGTACTTCTCTCCTCCTGTTAGCACTCAAATCTGCGCATCCATTCAGAAATCAATTCATTCTCATCGGAAAAGCTTCCCAGAGCACTCTGTTAATCGGACTTTTTTCCAGCAGAATGTTTTCCAGAGGCTGTGTCCCATATGGCCATGAGAGCATAATCTCCCTGTGGCCTCTTTCTCTCTGGCTTTAAGCCCTCCATCCATCCCATTATATTTTACCACTGCACATCTGTCCGCAGCTGGAGGACTGACAGAGCAATCCATCAGTGTTGTTATTTCTGAAACCAACCTGCATTTGCAAGTTTGAAACATCTGAATTTTCTTAAAGGAATAGTTGACCTGTTGAATTGAGTCTTCAATTTACTCATGAGCAAAGTAGTGTTATCTAACCATGTTAGATAACTAAATCATCAGTCAATGAAAAAGGTTATAGTACACCTCTCCTGATGGCTGTTACAGTACTTGTGAGGCCTAAATAATGAGCAAAGTTCATTCTAACAATACAATTATGAATGAATGTAATAAACTAGATAAGAGCTGCCAAAGACTTGTCTAGTGCCCATAATTACACCAAAAATTAGTGGTAGGAGCCACACTGTCTAGTGCTTTAGCTGCTGCTGTCAGTTCACTGCGAAGATCATAGGTCGTGCATGGGATTTGCTTCTGCATAATTTAAGTCTTGCGTTTAACCCCGTGCACTAAGATGCAGGGGTTCAGGACTAGAGCTCTTGAGTATATTCATGGAGATTAATCTAAACCCCCTTCAGGATGATTCTGATCACTACTGCTGTATAAGTAGTGAAGATCTAATACAACATTCTTGTCATCTTATTTAAAGCGTATACTCTTGTTTAATATTTAATATGAAGAGAATTTAAGTACTTCAGTCATTTATTGAACTATCCAGCTAAAAATTGTCAATCAAAAGGAACTCTAATAAATAATAAGAAAGAGTTTGTAATAAACAAACGATGAGTCACGCACATGTGCCACACGAAGCCTACCAATGTAGAGGAATCTAACCGTTGTATCCGGGCACGGCTTTGCCGGTGTTCTGACGATTTGTGCTACCTGCTCATATTGTGCTACCTCCCATTAAAAAGATAGGTAGCACAAATCGATAGCGAAAAATGCGACCCATCAGATTATGCTACCATCATCTTATTCATGTTTGAGGCTTTTAAAAATGTCCATAACTACCCCTCCCCACCCATATCTACCCTTACCCTAAACTTACCCTTAAAACAATGCAAATATATATTTTGGTAGCACAATCTGATAGGACTGACACAATTTCAACTCAAATTTGCTTGGGGTAAATTGCAAATTGATGTTTCATTGATGTTAAAATAACCCGAGTCTTGTTGTTACAACTAGTCCAGAGTCTTGTAGCCATGAACTATCTCACCTTATACAGTATAGCTAACAACCAAAACATTAGCACTAACAAACATGCATTCAAAAAATGTCTAACACACAGACACACAAAAGACATAATGTAACTTTGATTAGTTTAACTACAAAGCAGCCATTGCCATGACAAAAATAAATAAAGTCTTACATAAAAATGAGTTTTTCCCCTGTAACATCTGCTGTGTCTGCCTCAGGAATCTTCTTCATCACATGTGGAATAAGGACTATGAGAGAAGTGAAGCAGGTGATTTGTAACTTGTCTCTGATTGGAGAAATTGGAAGTGTTACAACTGTTACAACCATCCCCGGTCTCCCCCTACATTTTAAACAACCGAATGATGTATTGTTCAACAACCATTATACATTTGCATTTGAAACGTCTGATTTGACCAATGCTCGTCAAACATTAGAACTTTAATTTTTAAACGCCTTATGCACGTTCAACAAAGCTTAAGGAAATGTGCATGCACAATTCTAAACGTAACGTGCAGACACTGCATCTCAATCCGATTTACATCCCATTCCGAATCGTCCACTACACATGGTAAATAATCCCGTTCCCGTCCCAACCACTCCCATCATCCGCACGGGATCCAATCCGCGCTCACTCGCTCTCTCCTCCGCTACAGTGCGCGCTCTGATGCCGCAGCTCCAGTCTCTCTCTCTCTCTCTCTGATAATAACACAGCACAGTCATGGCGACAATGACAGTCCTACCGCTCGCCCTAGAGCGAGGTGAGTACTGCCAAACGCACGTTCTGCTGGAGCTAACTTTATGCTTGTGCGCTATTCATTTGTCGGATTTTTGCATTATTGGACTTGGCTCATCATGGGCTGTTGATGTTTTGGTGATGTTGCCTTCTCGGTTCGGCTTGTGTCCGTCAGGCATGATGATGATGAGGATGATGATGATGCACAGAACACGCTCTGTGCTTCAGGGTCCACTAGTGCGTGTGATATTAATGGGATCTGTGTTCGGTTTATTTTATTAAAGCACTTCAGGCACTCGTTTCATACATAGCCTACACTTTGCTGATGCTCACAGCAGCGCGCAGTGTATGTTCTTTATTTTGTCCTTATTTCACTTTACAGAAGACTGTACAACTTCTCAGTGTGCGAAACTGAAGTCGAGACTGGGCTGTTTTATAGACTTTAATATAATAAAACCGGATCACAACGAATAAGCGCTCGAATAATCTACTGTACGCGCGATGCATCCTACACGCATTCTTACATTATACAGCTTAAAGAAGAAATGACTGAAGTCGTGTGGACAAAACTTGCCTTTTTGATAGCCTATTATCACCTTGTCGTGGCTTGATTGATTATCAGCGGTCAGTGACCTGTCAGAACGGCCCGAGAGCAACAATGTGGGCCGTTGCGCTTAAATCGCTAACAAATGAATTGCGTTTAATTTATATACGGTGATACAGCAGGTCAAATAGTAGCCTATGGAAACTCAAAGCATTTAAAGCGTCCCCCAAGCAAAGCGATGGGGATATTTTTAGAGAAATGAGACACCTCTGGCATGCGCGCGCGACGCGGTGTGGGTATATTGCTTCAAAACTAGTGGCGATGTCCGATTGGTGAACGAACTGTTGTGTTGAGTCGGATCTTTACAACGAATCAATTGAACCGACTCACAAACACTGTCTGAACGAATCGTTCACGAATCGATCCGAGCGACTCGTTGAACCATGAACCATTGATTGAACTGATAGGAAGAGCATACGGAGTGAACCGATGATATATGCAAAATGAGTCGGAACTTAAGTAATAGCCAAAATGTACAAACATATTGTTTATGAATAGATTGTATGACCGTTTTATCAACACGTACAGAACAGCACAACCTTTTAATCCAAAAGAAACAAGTGAAAGTTTAATGTACATCTAAACAATTCTTTTAAATAATTAACAATAATACAAATAATTATGAACTGAATCAAGCATGCCTACATAATGTCTTTATTGGAACATTTTAAAAGCATGTAACACACCACACCAGTTTGCCATGCCATGATGACATAAAGGAATGCCTAAATTGGTGAAAATGGTTCCTTTAAATGAACTGTTCGAAAGAACCAGTTATTGAAAATCAGTCTGTTTTCCCATAACTAAAAACTAGACTTATTATAATTAAAGACCCCTTTTGCACTTAGCAATGCAATCATGACATTGGCGACCCATTCAACCAATCAGAATGCTAATAGGAGTGTTCTATGTTTGTCACGTCACTCAGCATGGTTTGTTCTGTTTGATTTGTATGTTGTCCAGTGTAACAGATCATATACTGAGAGCCAGGAATACATCATGCATTGGATTGTTGTATCGGATTAAATAGTGTTCTTATGATTTGTATTTTCTTGTGAGACCATGGTGTGCCCAAGTAAACACATCTTTACACTGCATGGGTCTATGGGTGGTTTAGCTACCTAATAATTTTGCCCAGAGAGCACATATTTGAAAACGACCACCTACATTTTACACTAGAAAAGTATATTGGAGAAACTACAAAGAGGCCCCGGTAGTTCTTATTCATTTATATTATTTAAACAGAACCTCCAGAAGCAATTAAATTTAAGTGGAAACAGATTTATTCTGGTGGCATATTTTAAGCATTGCCAGAAACCCAAAGTAATTGTTATGCTTAATGATAGCAGACTTAGACAGATTTATGACAGCAGAAATCCAAAACACCACAGGCCTCGCATTATTCAATATCTATGCTATGCTTGAGGTTATAACAGGCATAGTGAGGAGCCTGAATTGTAGGTATAATTTGATCACAGCGAAAATAACCTTGGGTGTCCCTTCATTTTGGGTGCGGCCGGTTAACTGAAGGTTGTGAGATTTTCCTGCAATTGCATTTAAATAACAGCTGTTCAAAGATAAGAACCGCTTGCTGTGGTAGTATTCAGTGTGTATGCAGGACATGTGGAGGTGTCACTTATGTACAATATGAAAGGCTAATCTAGCAAACTAAAATCAATAAGATACTTTGTCAACACTCATAGTCCTATAACAAACTCTAACCGAGATCTTAGATAAGGATGGAATGCTTGCGTTTGGGAAACAGAACTGTACTAGTCTTATCCTGAAGGAGAGATTGAAAACAGGGAATATAGGAATTTTGGAGCAGTAAAACCTGAGGACGACTACTGACCGATTAGGGTGCTGCTCTGGCTTGCTTGATTCAATGGATGGATGGGTCATAAGGAGCTACGCAACTTTTCCTGGTGGGCCGGTCCACTTGTGGGCCAAATGTCGAAACCAAATTTATATACAAAGTAAAAGCTTAGAAAAGGAAACCCTTACATTATGGTACTCTATGGAAATTTTTTAAAATTCTGTTTGTATTCCGTACACACATAGAATGATGATTTGGGGGAATCGTTCCTGTGTTTAAATGCAGACGTCACAACTAAAGTCTTCCTGGACAAAGCCACCATGTTATGCTAATACTGGTGTATTAATACCTTATAAGTGAAGTTCTAACCGAGATCTTAGATAAGGATGGAATGCTTGCGTTTGGGAAACAGAACTGTACTAGTCTTATCCTGAAGGAGAGATTGAAAACAGGGAATATAGGAATTTTGGAGCAGTAAAACCTGAGGACGACTACTGACCGATTAGGGTGCTGCTCTGGCTTGCTTGATTCAATGGATGGATGGGTCATAAGGAGCTACGCAACTTTTCCTGGTGGGCCGGTCCACTTGTGGGCCAAATGTCGAAACCAAATTTATATACAAAGTAAAAGCTTAGAAAAGGAAACCCTTACATTATGGTACTCTATGGAAATTTTTTAAAATTCCTGTTTGTATTCCGTACACACATAGAATGATGATTTGGGGGAATCATTCCTGTGTTTAAATGCAGACGTCACAACTAAAGTCTTCCTGGACAAAGCCACCATGTTATGCTAATACTGGTGTATTAATACCTTATAAGTGAAGTCAATCAAATCAGTAAAAACACAAATATTAAAAAAATGCAATCAAATGTGCCTCCAATTCCTAGTTTACTGAAAATGTCAATGAAATTATGTGGGATGCAAACAAGGTTCTCTGTGATTAGCACTGCACGACATATTCCTCTCCAACAATTGTTTAATAGCTTTTCCTCTGCAATGTAAAAGCATTATGTTTGAACTAGATCATAGAGTAGGTGATCGTTTTTTATTAGGCTGACAGAGGTCCTGGGTTGTTTTTAGGTCACGTGCCATCCTTGCTTCATTCTGCTAATGCATTTGGACTAATGCAACCCTTGCACAAAATGGATTTGTGTTCAATTGCTTGGAATTCTCATGTCATATTGATTTTGGTCTGAAGTCCTCTTTTTCTGTTCAGAAAGACAAAATTTGTCTGAGTACTTTGCTAAATTAAACATTAAGTGCTCTTCTTTGACACACTTGAATTTGAACAAATTTCTCTTGGAAGATATTCAGAGAAAATCAACCCGAAACAATATCAAGACAGTCATCGAAGCTATTCACTTGTTCAAAAGCTTTGAAGGCTATCGCCAACCATAAGATGGTTATACGACTTGTATAAAGTACCGTTGAATTATATTGCATAAACCAGCAGTGATATAACCTTTTCTCTAGGCAAAAGTGTTTCTGAACCCTTTCTGTCCACTTTAGTCTGTCCATTCGAAGATAAAAGCCCAGTCCAGCCTGAGAATGAGATCAAGGGATCATATCTAAGACTATTTTTATCCGAACAAGAGTGTCTGTGTCACCAGTAATTGTGTGTATGAAAAAGAGAGGGTCTAGAAAGACCGACAGTGGTATCAGTCAGACATCAGGGGACAAACACTCTGTGAGGTCATTTGTGCGGGACTTGCATAGCTTGCCGTCTGAGCTATTATACTGCGAGGTGATTTATGTGCCCTTTGCAGTCGGGAATGTCACAGTTGGGCCAATTACTGATAATTCACAGGGTTTGATCAAGTGAGGTCCTGGGATATCAGAGAAGGGTACTGCTTTGTGTCTGCACTAACTCCTGCTGTTTTGGGAGGCCTGCTGTCCGAGACCAGCGTTTTCCTCAGGCTTCCCTGAGGATGGCCGTCTGAATCTGGAAAGCGGCAGATGGCTAGCACTCTCTCAGGCAATTTATTCTGGCATGTAAAATGGTGAAGACAATGTGATGCTCAGGAAAATAGTTCCGTCAGAAATGTGTGAAACATTGTGTAGAAGTGTCTTGGCTGACCATCTAGTCAGTCCTGAAAGCTTTTTTATCCACTCTATCTATTACTGAGTATATAATAAAAACCAAAAATTGTAATGTAATGGATGCCAATGGGATTATTAGGAAAAAATAAACAGTTTATAGTCAACATGAAATCAAAACAGACCCTGTTTTCTTTTACTCAATATATGTTCATGGTCTTATCGTGCCTAGTGTCAAAATGTAATTTGCTCTGCCTCTAAAACAACTGTCCATTTTTGACCGTTAAGACCACTTATACTATGGGGCTGTTGAATGCTTGAATCTGATTGGCTGATGAATGCCCTAAGGGGAAATGCATGACTAAAGTAGTTCCAGGCAAGTCTTGACCGCTTTACATTTTCATATCACTGCACCAAATGATTTCAGTAATTCCAAAGGCCCTTAAAGCCTACAATAACTGATTAATAGAATAAAGTCCCTGCTCTACTTTTTATTTTTTGATAATCCGTTACACCCGGACGTAAGTCATAATACGAAAAAAACAAACAATGTCGCTACTTCTGA